GTTAACAAGTTAGTAAGGCAAGAATAGCCTTTATGAAAACCGTGCTGAGGGATTAAGCAACTCAAACGCTCACAAGTGTCCTTCGAGAGCGTCCTTCACAGGTTTTTCTAACAACTTGACTAGCAAGCTCGTCAAAGTGACCGGTCTATAGTTATCAGGAAGGTGCTTATCACCTTTCTTAAAAATGGGACAAATAGCCTCCTTCCAGTCAGTGGGTAGAGAGCAGCTGCGTAGAGACTTCACAAAAAGTTGTGTAATCGGAGGGTAAAGTTCAACAGCCAATTCGTACAACAGTTTGGGATGAATAGCATCCCCACCGGCAGCTTTAGTGGGATTTAATTCCCCCAGAATACGGAGCAATTGAGTCTCCGTTATGGGAACTTCCAAGAGGGAGCCCTCAGGAACTTTTGCCTGCAGGCTGATATGCGGCAGCCGCGGCACTAGAACATAAACCCCAGCATACTGTCCTCGGAGAAAGCAAGATTTTGGTGATCTGTGAAAGCAACAGTGCCGTCAGGGCCAAACAGCACTGGGATGCACGAGTTAATGTTGCTACATCTTTTGACATACGCAAAGAAGCGTTTCGGGTTTGATGAGGCTAAACGAGTAAGCTCTACTTCATGCTGTAGATGAGCACCTCGTAGATGCTGCCTGCAGGCATTTCGAGCCTCTCGGTAGGGCTTGAGGGTGCATGATGAAGGAGCAGATAAGTACGCCAACATTTGGCGTACATTTGCGTACAGCAAAAGCAAACCAGGGTAGTTTTATTCCTGCCAGACAGTGGTATATGGGGGAGAGTTCGCAAGTATGATTTAAATCAGTTCCAGGCAGTTTGAATAGCGCCACTCTCCAAAATGACATAGGCAACTTTGCGGCCTTGGCTTTCATTGAAAGTCCGCGCGCTGTATGTTTGGAACTCGGTCTGAACGATCATTAGTCGGACGACTAAGGGCGCACTTAAATGAGAAACATACGTAGTCGCTAGCACCGAGAGGTGGGTTGTATACAATATCCGAGACAAAATCAATGGATTTAGCGAAGATCAAGTCTAAGAGGGACGAGTTTTGACCCATCATGAATCTAGTGGGCCGATCGACTAACTGGTGCAGGGGAGCATGCAAGGCCAGCTCGGTAGCCAGACACCTTGTAACAGCGCCGCAGGAAAAATTCTGCCAGTCGATGTCGGGAAGATTAAAGTCACCCATCACTAAACCCCTATTTGCCGAATGTTCACGGATGAAATCAACGAGACCCTTAGCAACGCCGTCGGGGCTTCTATAGACCAGCACAACATTAAGTTGTGCGGAGACAATATACAGGTTAACTGCGAATTATGAGAAATTATGGGACCACTATAGGCAATCTCATTCAGAACTCGACTTCTCTCACTACAAGACAGTCAGAGATGTTTGTGTCGCAATGAAACGCCAGAAACGCCAACGATACGAGCTATCCTTGGCAACACACTCCAGAATCGCGCCTAAAATGCTCTACTCTTATTTGAAAAGAAGCACTAGAGCTGGTAATGGCATCCCTGCTTTGTGTTCCTGTGATCATCAAGCTTTACTTCACGAGGACGCTGAGAAAGCTAGTCACTTAGTTAAGCAATACGCCTCTGTTTACGCGAAAGAAACGCCATTTAGTGACAGAGCCGTATCCACATTTCCATCTTCGTTGGCCCAAGTAGATATTAACACTGATTCTGTGATGAAACTTCCTCTTCATTTAGATCCGTATAGCTCACCCGGACCTGATGGATTGCATCCTTTGTTCCTCAGGACTGTGGCGGAGTACATAGCCTCACCCATATGTCAAGTCTTTCGTCGCTCACTAGAAGCTGGCCGTCTTCCTTCAGCTTGGAAAGTGGGTATCGTCAAACCCATTTACAAAGGAGGAAGTCGACATGATCCGGCCAATTATCGTCCAATCTGTTTGACGTCAGTAGTGTGTAAAGTTATGGAACGGATCTTAAAACAAGCTGTTACTCTTCATCTTGAGGGACAATGTCACTTTTTATGCCCAGCATGGGTTCAGAAAAGCACGCTCGTGTACCTCGAACTTGCTCGCTGCTATGGAGACCTGGGCAAGGTCACTAGACTCCGGCAAACGCTTGGACGTTGTGTTTCTTGACTTCAGCAAAGCTTTTGACAAAGTCCCGCATGAACGGCTCCTGTGTAAGCTCCAAGGAATCGGTATTTCTGGGAACCTCCTGTCTTGGATCTCCGAGTTCCTAAACGACCGCTCTATGCAAGTGAAGGTGAATGACACATTTTCTGCTCCTGTTTTCATGACGAGCGGGGTCCCACAGGGCTCTGTTCTCGGTCCCGCACTTTTCAATATTTTCATCAACGACTTACCATCCACTCTTCAGACGGATTGCCTAATCTACGCTGATGACCTAAAGCTATGGATAGAAGTATCCAGCCTTGAAGACGCCGACCGATTACAAACTACGCTCGATCTACTCCATGACTGGTCGATTAAGTGGCAGTTGCCCGTATGTATGTATGTATGTAATCTCAGCGGTCTAGTAACTAGACATAGAGCCAATAAAAACCATGGAAATCAGTGGATAGGAGAGTCATTGCGTTATAATCATCGTGGCATGCTAGTTGAAGGTGGGCAACACACTTCAGCTAATATGCCGCAAGAAAATGGAATATTTTGACAAAAATACAGAACAAGACATTTTTAGTTTGTTTGTCACACGCCGATTTTTCTCTTTTTTGTCATTTTCAATATTAGTAAAATTAAACATGTGAATCAATACAACACTGTACACAATTCTTCCACTGATTACGGTTGCGGGCCATGTCTTCAAGAGTCCTAAGCCATTGGCACTCCTCATCTTTGGGTCCCCATGCTGGAAGACGTACGGGTCCAACAGCGGCTAGACGCGACGTCAGCGATTTCATGTGCTGCCGCCAAGTGGAAGGCTGACCACCACGCGGTCGCTTCTAGCCAGGTCCTTGACGAGCGAATAGAGCGCGACGCGGTAGACGCTCAGGTGCCATGCGTAGGACATGACCGAGCCATCTTAACTGGCGCAACAAAACCAGTTTGTTGAAGGAAATATTTGCATTCCCCAAGATGCGACGTCGAACGTCATTACTGGTAACTCGATGTTGCCACCGGACACGAGCGACCCTCCTTAAACAACCGTTATCGAACGCAGAAAGACGACGCATGTCTTCCACGTGAATCGGCCAGGACTCGCTCCCATACAACAATACTGAGCGAACTGACGCGCTGTGAACTCGGCCCTTTAGTGAGAATGAGACGTCGCGACGACGCCACAAGTGCCTCAGATTGACAAATGCTGATCGAGCTTTAGCGATACGAAGCGAAACTTCTTTGTTGATAGTGCCGTCAGCGGAAACACAGCTCCCAAGGTAGACGAAACTATCTACCTGTTCAAGTTGTGCACCTTGGAGAGTGAGCACGGGTGCAGGTGAAACCCAATCCTTGAGCAGTACTTTACACTTCGATGGGGCAAAGCTCATGCCATACTTAGATGCTTCAACCGCCAAACGATCCAGAATGAGTTGCATACTCTGAGGATCGCAGTTGCCCGTAAATTGTGATAAATGCTCTGTTCTCCCCGTTGGCTCATCAAACCCATTTGGAACTTACCACATTGATGGTTCCTTGCTCAGAAGCGCAACCCAAGAGAGGGATCTTGGAGTGATAGTGTCATCAGACCTCAAATCTATTCAAGACACCCAGAAGAGTGTCGCCGCGGCCTACAGGATGTTCCATTCTATACGTAGAGGGTTTTCTCTCCTGACCCCGGGACTTTTCCGACTCCTCTTTGGCTCGCATGTACGCCCGATTCTCGAATACGGGCTACCCGCTGCCTACCCTCTCACCAAATCCGAATGTGATATGATAGAGAAGGTTCAACGGCGTGGATCCAAATCCGTCCCTGAGTTGCGAGACCTGTCGTATCCACACCGAGTTCAACGACTGAACTCCTTCTCTCTAGGTTACCGCCGTCACCGAGGAGATTTGATATTCACTCGACGTATTCTCAGAGGAGAACTGGGTTGCGAGTTACAGGACTTCTTTCAACTCAACACTGAGAGTTCGACACGAGGCCACCGCATGAAACTGTGCAAACCGAGGAATCTCCGTGTGCGGCTCAATTTGTTCTTATCAACTCGCGTGGTGAATGATTGGAACCGGTTGCCGGATCCTGTTGTTGATGCTGAGACAGAGGAACGTTTCAAACAACTGTTAGATTCTCACCTGAGCGCGCTGGGATTCTGCTGCCTCTTAGACAGCTACAGTGGTCCTCTGCGGATCCTTCTACCGCATTGACCTACGCCATCTCCGCAATGAGCGGGAAGTGAAGGAGCTGACAAAGGATCTTCCTTATGCTCTCTATCATCCAATGATCCAATGAATGCCTCAACACCGTCTGGTGATCGGAAATTATATACTAGACCGAGGGACTGAAAGGTAAAAGTGATACTTCGTAGGTGGCTGGAAAACCATCTAGTAAAAGTAGGAACTGGATGAAAGGTGTGCCTGTGTCACACCTCGCGACGAGCTGGACGGCACTGTGACAACTGTTGACGGAGGAACGGACGTGAGTTGACTGCATGGATGGCATGAAAGCACGCAAGAGAGATGACTGCTATAACGAAGCTGAAGACTGTAGCGCCCAAAAAGATAACTCTTATCTTTCATGTACAATTTACTTGTTGACCGATGGTACATTACTCTTTCTTGTTTTAATCTTACAACCGGCTGGACACACAACTGCATTGTAAGTCCCTGCGCTCACGTGTACGCTCTTGCCTCGCTTCATCCGTCCGCTTCTTGTTGTAGCCCATCGAATACAGTCCGCTGTGTCCGACTCCAATTGCCTTCTGATATCCGCGCTTAATTCCGCGCATCGTCTCGGACTAGTATTAACTAGTCCTACAAGACGAAATTGTAAGACAAGGAGAAGAGGAAACGACAACCGTAATAGGCTATGCTCGACCACATCTTACCAGTTACGGACCGAGATTCCAGCCCATCTGTTATGAGCATATTCAAGTTCAAGTTCAGTTGGGACTGGAACGATAGGATAATCCCGTGAATGTTCCTTCTTTTGCGTATCGTTGGATCGGGAATTGACAGGTCTGCTTGAGATGTTGAAAAGCCTAAAACAAAGACCGCATCACACCCTGTCCAACCAATTACTGCCCACATTTTCCTGCCCAGCAGTCCCTGCCGGGCCGGTTTATGCGAAGTAAAAAAGTGAAGGGTAAGCTAAGAAAAGAAGAGGAGGAATGGCAGCTAAATAATGATAATACCAAGGTGAGAAGAAAATTAAAAAAGAACGAAGGGAAAGTTGAAGATACAAGTCGGTACAAGTCGGTTAGGAGAAGAGGAAGGTTTGGTACTGCCACCCTAGAGCATCTAACTGACGCTCGAAACATCATCATCATCATCATCATTACACGTTAGCTGGAGGTGGAAAACACCTCAGCTATTGTGCCACAATACAAAATAAAAGAAAAGGAAAAGTGACAAACAGTGGCAAGCCCGCTGAGTCCCCAGTGACGGATGGACATCGTTCCGGAGAGCTAACAGCTGGCTGCCGTAAAAAGAGAATCATATTATGCCTAACAGGTGAGATCGTGATTGGAGGGGGATACTAAACAGGAGGGGGATGGGCAAAGGAAATCACAACACAAACGCCACTGGGGCCGGCTCCGAGCCATATCAGCAAGTGTGTCCAACCAAACGTGTTCACCGTCCTTAGGACCCCAGCCAGGCAGTCGGGATGCACCAACCGACGCCAACTTCGAAGTGAGGGTTTTCATTCCTCTCGACCAAGTCATCACTTGGCCTCCCCTCCTCTTCTTCCAACCGCACCCACAACGCGCAAACAATGCACGTCGCGGGAGTCGGTGTGCTGGCATGCGCAACACATGGCCCAGCCATCGGAGCCTGGTGCGTGATATAATGGTGCTGAGCGGTTCACTTGCTGTTCCTGCACCAAATACGCGACGTCGAACACGCTCATTGCTCACTTGGTGCTCCCACCAAACATGAGCTAAGCCGCGAAAGCATCGATGATCGAATATGACGAGCTTCTTTATGTCTGTCGACCTGATGGGCCAGGTTTCACAACCATATAGGAGAGTTGAACGGACGGCTGCGTTGTAAACTCTGCCTTTCAGGGCAAGAGTAATGTCGCGTCTGCGCCACAGGTGGCGGAGATTGGCAAAAGCACCTCGAGCTTTTGCTATGCGGTTCGTAACCTCATCTTCAATCCCACGGGTGCTAATATAGTTGCCCAGGTACTTGAATTCCTGAACGACTTCTAGCAGATCACCACCAAGCGTTAGCGCAGGGTTGGGTCCCTGCCAATCTTGGAGAAGTACTTTGCT